ATGTTATTCTAATTTAGAAAAAAGGTTATCTGTTGATAAACAAGTTCACACATGTTATTCTAACTTAGACAAAATATATTTCTAATATATTCATGCGATTTATATGAATTGAATAGCTAAATTAGATACTAGAGATTAAAAAAATCCATAGCAGTATTTTCAGTGATGCTAAGAAATTCCTTACAATTACAGGGATGTGACTAACTTCCTATAACTACAATTGACTTTACAAAATCTCTGATTTTACAAGTAAATACATGTAGTATTATCAATTGGCGTATAGACAGACGATGACAGCCCACACATTTATTGGACTCATAGCACCATAACTATAGCTCCGCTTTTGTGCTTAAAGATTTAGAATTTTCAAAAGTCACATACATTCAACGCCTAAATACCTTCCGTGGTCTAAAAGTAACTGTCAAGTGTGTTATAAGGTTAACAAAGCTTTCTATCTTCTCAATGCAAAATTTGTTATAGCTTATTAAATCTTCATACGTTTTCTTCAAGAAATGCTTGAAAGTTATTGGTAATATTACATAATTCAAAGCTATTTTATACAGATTACAGAACATCATCAATATCAAAACTTGAAAAAATATTTTCAAATGTAATCAGTATCAAGTTGATATTTCTCTATGCATATTACTGTACATAAACTGTTGTACTTACTGATGTGAGATTTATATTATCAACCTCTATTAATAGAGCATATACCAATGGCTTCAATATTTATGTTTTCATACTAAAATTTCTGTTACAGCATGTTAAAATACAATATTCCTTGATGAAATTGGGAAACGGATCTTTTTTAAGAAAACGATTTTTACGTCTTTTTGGCAATGTCTGTACAGTGTCTAGAAATGTTGATCTCGGATGCCTCCACAAGGTACCCATTTCGTTATAGTATTTATAATTCACCAATTTGATGTTCAACATGATTTTGCAATCAGTGACAAAACGAATGAGTTTTCGGCTTTTTTGGCTTAAAATTATTTTCCGGTTTAAGGTTGATCTAGTGTGTCGTAAATTGTGTCACCAAAGTGAGGCTATTTTGATGTATGTCATCTCCGAGGAGAACACAGTCTTATGCGAAATATAGCAGACAATCTCAACCAATGTGTTTCATCAACACGAAATGTTGGACGACATTAACGTTCAACCAGTTCATGATGATAAACACAGAACTTACAACGGGATTACATAAATAGTGGGACAATAAACCCCTGTTTGGGTCAGTAGTTGGCGCTGTATTAACAGACTCTGTAATGTCAAAAAGCTCACTAGGAAGGTACGAGTCTGAGATATGAACGCCATACTCAAGGCTGCCGGAATAAAGCTACACAGGAACGGAAAGTTTATTCCAAATTGTTACCAAAATCCAATAAGGAATTATCTCAACTTTAACAAGGGTATAATGCAGCAGAAAATACTGTCGGAACAAAACAAAAGCGATGTAACTTTTTGTCCTTGAAAATTAATAAGCTTCCAGCTCTCCCTTTATTTTGTCCTTCGAACTGGACACTTTGTCAGAATGGGCAATACCAATCAGGTCTCTAATAAAACGTGTGAATTATCGACTAAAGTCCATATTCAAAGACAAAGAAGTTGTGAAATGTCTATCATCTCTTCACAATAAATATATGTTGTTGTTCCTGCGGAAAAAGCTTCAAATAATATTGTTTTTTGTATGTAAATCGTACTATTACGAGTGTCTTGTAAAATAATTAGGAATAAATGAGAACTTGGGTAATCCCACATACAAAAACATATAATTTGACAAGGATGAGATTTTAGCGAATCATAAGTCCTTTAAAATGAAAATTACATTAAACAGCAAATCTGAGGACTTCCCTTGTTTGTATTGGATACCTAAGCTTCACACAATTCTGTACAAACGACGGTACATTGAAGGCTCATCTACATGTTCTACAAATGAATTGTCCATTAGATTGACAAAAACTATGTCCGCAGTGAAAGAAGGTCTTCAGAAATACTGTGAAACTGTTTACTCACGTAGTGGTATTAACCATATTCGTATTATAAAAAACTCTAAAGAACTTCTCCGTGGATATTTTGAAATATCGATCTTTCTCTGAAATCAATTCTATCAAAACCCTTTATAACACTATTCCCAATGTGAAATTGAAAAATCGTCTAAAAGAAATAATCAACAATGCCTTTCAATATAAAAATGGTAGCATACGCTATAAATGTATTGCTTTGGAATATACGGAATATTTTGTTTAATGTTTAAAATGGTGAAAAAAAGGTAGCACATGCTACACCGAGTACACCGAGGAACATGAGGTCAGTATGCTGGACTTTCTTATTTACAATATATTTGTTGAATTTAGAGGTAGACTTTTTCAGCAAATTGTCGGCATTCCTATGGGACCATAATTGTGCGCCTCTCCTTGCCGACCCAGTCTTATTTCTTATGAGTCGGAGATCAATCAGACACTTGTCAAAAACAAAAAGATCAAAGAAGCCAGATCATTAAATTTCATATTAAATATATATTGATGATGTTCTTTCCATTAACAATCCGAACTTTTATGATTGGGATCCATTAATATGTCCTCCAGAACTAGAAATTAGAGAAACAACAGACACGGCTTCCTCCGCCTCATTTTTAGACTTATACCTCGAATTTTACATAAGTGGTCATCTCAAATACCAGAATCTATGAAAAACATGATTTTCATTTAGAAATTATAAATTTCCCCCACCTTAGCAGCAATTATATACCAACTTCACCTGCATATGGGATATACATTCCCCAACTCATTCGGTATTCAAGAACTTGCAGCTGCTACCCAAACTTTATAAAACGTGTTTTGAGCAGAAAGTTGAAGAACCAAGGTTATGTCAAAGAACATCTAATCTTTTTCAAAAAAAGTTCATCGGAAGATAACAAGATATTGTTGATAAATATTCTGTATCAACTTCAAAAGTAATGCATGATGGTCTTGAAGTATTGATTCAAGGTACTGACGTTGTTTATCATCTTAATTACGTGTAAAAGTGTTCTTTTTGTCTTTGTATTTTTTTAACCTTTGCTGTTTAGTTCATTTTTGGTTATATCCTTTTTGCGTGGCTCGGTATTTATACATCCCGCCATTGTATTATTGTGCTATATAGAAATAAGAAGATGTGGTATGAGTGCCAATGAGACAACTTTCCATCCAAGTCACAATGTGTGAAAAGAAAACCATTATAGGTCAAAGTACGGCCTTCAAAACGGAGCCTTGGCTCACACCGAACAGCAAGCTATAAATGGCCCCGAAATGACTAGTGTAAAACAATTCAAACAGGAAAACCAACGGTATAATCTATAAAAAATACATAGAAAAGTGTACCTAACTCAAAATATGGACAATTTTATGTTAAGGGGTCAGTTTGTACTAATTTTTGACCTTTTCACACTGGACCAAATCACTACTTACCTAAAAATTCATGCTCTAAATTTTTTACAAGTAATTTTATCCCCCTACTTACTATTTTATGCATAAAATATTAAGAAATATATTTGGAAGGTGTCAGAAGAAAATTGCAAGTTATACACTGTTCACACTAGGGACTCTATTTGTAAGACAACGAAAATCAAAGGACGATAACTGTGTGCCGGACCATATGACAGTTGTTTTCTATTTGTTTGGTGTGTTTGAGCTTTTGATTTTGCCATTTGATAAGGGACTTTCCGTTTTGAATTTTCTTGGTGTTCGTTAATTTTGTTATTTTACTTTTTATTGAATGTGTACATTAAGTGTGGTGAAGATCGTTTGAGATACGAGCTTATACAGTTTCATCTAGTGTGTAACGGACTGACCGACAGTCACGTTACAATACCCCCTTCGCTATTTTGTTGCGAGGAGAAAAATAAATATATAGAAGGAATTCCAAAAAGATCTAAATAAGTAAATATTCATAATCCTATAATTAAAGATAAAGATGAAAACGGATTCTGATGTGAGGTGGTTGCAGTTTTTTGTACTTGGATTACAAATTTCTACACGAAATATTATATTATTTGAGATTGAGAGAGAGAGAGAGAGAGAGAGAAAAACAAGAAAAAATCGCAAAAAGCCGTTTTTTTTCTCAAAATAATCTAACACTGTTGAATCGAATATGTATTATAATCAGGAATGTATGTTACCCCGGAATAAATTTCATGTTTCACCCAAGACCTTTATTTATCTGTAAACTGCAGGTGTCATATGTGTCGGTGTCATGAATTATTGAAAAGGTCTAATCGTAGATGCGTATCAATTTCTGCAAATGCGTAATAGACATCACCAACGATTCTTGTTTAAATCATGACGCTATTTTTATTGTGGTAATTTATTTTCAAAAAAAATCAAGTATGAAGTGCTCACTTTTTAAAAAAATATTTCAACAACCAGCCATCTCAACAACGGTGATGTGGTTCTCTGCTTTATTAATACATACCTATTTAAAGTTTGTTCATACCCACACACTGAATACGGGTTGTATACTTTCTGGTAAGTATTAACATGAATCCAGTTTAAAAGAAATTAAAAAAAAACAAAAATAAGAACCCTGGCCTTAATTCAAGTTCCACTACGATGTATAACAAGAAAGACAAAGGAAGACGTATCTGTAAATATATATATGATTGTCTGCTCTTTGGTCGGGTTGTTGTCTCTTTGACATATTCCCCATTTCCATTCTCAATTTTATGATTGGTATCAGTTTACGGCTATTTCAGGACTATTGTGCTATTTCGTGGCGTGCAGTTTTTATTAGCGGAGGAAGCAGGAGTGCCCTGAGAGAACCACCGACATTCGGTAGGAAAACTGACAATATTCTTAAAATATATATATATGATGGTTGAAAATATGTTTCAGGTCATTTGTATTAATTTTCGGAATGACATTAAAAGGGCTTTCTTCAATTTCATCACAAAAAAAAAAGAAAACAATACGCCAGACATGTTTCATACTTTTTCATATACATAATAATATGACTGAATGATGTTAAAGTTGTTAATATTTTACTAATTGTATCAAAGAGAAAGTTTCGCTTCATCAGTTTTTTGTACATTGATCCAAGCGACATGATGGAAAATCAAAATTCTTTCTTTTACGAGCTTTGATGACTCTTTAATTTATTCTGTTTTACATTTATTTGGAGCATTCAAGGCAAACAAACATGGTTATTGGCTGAATTTGTTTGAGCTTCACTCTCAGTCTGTTTTGTAATAGCCAGATTTATATCTAAAGCCTGTTATTTTTATAACAATATACTCGGAACCTCAATTATAACCTACTGAATCCTTATGAATGCTTGTTTCGATTGCAATAATGTCTATGCAGGTGACGGAGAGCTTCTCCAATCCAAGACACTGAAGATTCCAGCGACAAGCATAATAACCGAAGCTATAATCACCAAAAAAAATGCGAATCCATAGCTACTTGTAGGACCTTCGTTACAATATATGATCACACCTAAAACGATTAGACCAACTGAAATAAAGAATTAGATAAATTATTTATTTATAAAGCCAAAGCTCTTATTATAAATCTATGGAAAAAAAGAATACAACATATTATTTCGTCTTTTCAGAATCTAAAGGACTATGGTTAATATTCTAATGCAATTATTTTGTATCAATGGTTCTGATTGGATGACAGTAAGCGTACAATTCTCTATCTCCTTGTCTGTAACTAAGGAAGTCGACGTTTACCTGTCTCCGCTACGCTATTGTTCGTACACCGAAATGAAAATAACGCTACGTCACTGGTTGAATTTCCATTGTTTATTACATGTACGTTTTAAACCAATCACAACGTTTTAGTGTACGTTTTTCAAAATATAACGCAGAATGCTTCAGATTCTAAAAACGGCGTGACCTTATGATGTAGTTTAGCCTGGGATCCTGTCTCACTGCTCGACAGACGAAGTATTAGATTGGGTCAGGATGCCAGGCTAGATGTAGTTTGGTTCATTGTGTTGTTGTGTTATGGTCACACTGACGTATACGCAATATTTTCGGTTTGTATGTAAAAATGTACCATTTGTGTGCATCTGTCCTAAGTCTGGAACCTTTTGTTCAGTTGTTGTCGTTTGTTGATGTTGTTCATAAGTGTTTCTCGTTTCTCGTTTTTAATATAGATTAGACCGTTGGTTTTCCTGTTTGAATGGTTTTACATTACTCATTTTTGGGGGCGCTTTATAGCTTGCTGTTCAGTGTGAGCCAAGGCTCCGTGTTGAAGGCCGTACTTTGACCTATAATGGTTTACTTTTACAAATTGTGACTTCTATGGAGAGTTGTCTCATTGGCACTCTTCTTATATCTATATAGTATTACATAAAAATTATTGTATTGTAATATATGAGGGTCTGGATCTGGTTTATAAAATGTGGAATAGGTTGTCAAAAATGCCAAATAAAAAGGGGGTGGAAGAATAAAGAAAATAGGTCAATACAATTAAGAATGGAGAGTAATGGGGTGCTAAAATATATAAGAATTGAGAATAATGGTCACAACCAATTAATAAAAAAGAAGACAAAATGTCATGATATCAAGGAATACAGAAATGAAGAACCCCTATTTAGACCCTCGTTTATAAATTGGTCGGTAAATAGATTTCCTAGTTGACTAATGCACATTTATAGTAAATTTGAACTATGCGCACAAAGGATTTACCTAAGAAGTGAACTTAAATGGTTTGCGATCTAAATGACCTAAATTTATAAAACAAAAACAAAATGTGGAAGGCAGTTCGGTGATCGCTAGCTCGGTTCACTTAAGCGCTTTGCATGACAATTCCATTGAAATAGTCCGAATTAGACACAGGCAATTTTTAATATATACTTATATTTCCTGTATACTTATATGAGGAATGAATGGAAAAGATCAGACAAATGCCTGTGTTTCTGTTGCTTTAAATACATTAATGAGACATTTCAAATTGATGCAATTATAGACATCATGGACATACATGATTTGTCAATTCTAGCAAAAAATTTGGTTTATTATTGTAAAATTGGTTCTAAATACAAGAAAGTATACCAAAAAGTCTTTGTTATTTTCTCCCTACTCAATTTACCCATAACTAACTACCCTTATTTGATATGAACTGGTCTTTGACATTGAATCTTACACAATTCGATTGGACAAAGATAATATTATGTCTACCTGTTAACATTTCTCGAGTTTACCATGTCAGAAAATGGAATTTATTTTAAATGAAATAACAATTGCTTAAAAGGGCAGTGGTGGACACTCTAAGAAAAAGAATAAAAATTACTATTGTCTGTTGTTTTTTTTTTGTTTTTTTTTTACAATTAATGGTAATGATTTAATATTTTCAGTCTAAGTCTAACAAAAAATACTCATTGATTACTATATGAATATGATTGAACACAATAATCTTATATCAAGTATGCCATATTTCAACTGTGGAAAGTTCCGTGCAGATTATTTTTATCATTGAAACAAAAGGATTTGTCAGTTCTTACTTTTCACAAAATTTTCGTAATATTGAGACTATTCTAACAATTTTAAAATGGCACATTCTTTATAAATTCGAGAAACAATTCATATCATGTGTTTCCATCCTTTGAAAAGGTAGTTCTGTCGAAGATATAATTGAGCACAAAATGAGACAACATTTGCTACAGTGTCCTAATTCCAACATCTCCTTCTTAAATATCGTTTAAATCAAAATTTAATAAATTGCTTCTCCGAGCACAGCTGGATACGACCGCAGAGGTCCAACCCTGAACAGTTAGGGCAAAGGATACTTTTAAATTACGCACGTCTACGAAAGGTAAACCGCTTGTGTGTTTAAACAGAAAATATAGTTTTTCAGTCTTATTATACTGTTATTACTGAGCTGGAACTGTAAATTGATATGTGGTGTATATGGTTCCTTATTACAAATGTTTCCACTGAAGAGTCTTATTAGGTGGAAATACACAAACTCATAAAGGTCGATTTTAAGAAAAAAAAATTTTTAGATATCAGTGTTCGGTCAACTGCATCTCCGCCATACCATGGACCCGTAAGCAATTTACTATCTATCTTAAAACTATAACATAAACAACCTGAAGCAAACTGAAGTATAAAGATGGCAATTGGCAATATCTTCTTCTCTTTCATCACTGTAAGTTTTAGTCCAATAACGATGAGTGCACCAAGTATTGCTAGAAAGGCAAGTGTCTCGAAAGCTTCGACTGCTTCTATAAACCATGCTAAAAGCAAAAAATATACGTGTAGATGTTTCGCTTTTAATTAAGACTTGTACACATCTTAATAGTGACGTTTATTACTTTAAAAAAAAATCAAAATAATTTACTTACTTTAATTGGTATTGAAGATCTGAAGCAATTATGTTATAAACCTTGAGAGTTAAGAATGGGTTAAGGCTTCAAACAGGTAATTTGAAGCAAGTAAGACGAACAGAAATTGTATTTCTTTAAGATACAGTTATTGGCAAACGTTTGGTTTCTAGACAACACATTTCTTTAAAAAAAAATGTAGTGTTGATAAAGGAATACAAACCTTGATTAGATCCACTGCCAACAAAGTCCACACATATGCTGCCAGAACATGTCTTCCAAATTCCAGAATGATAAATTCCACTCTTAAACCAGTACGGTGCGCCATAACCGATCAAATGTACAAGAAATCCAACAGCAGTCAGAATTGCTGATACAAGAGCAAATTTCGAAATTCCTTCAAATAACCCCATTGTCAGATATTGATGGCGTCCACACAAAATAATTTAATACCTGAACGACCTTCAACGGTTCAGTAGATATAATAGCCTATAGCATAATACTTCCATTGGGTAGATCGTAATATTATTTTAGTGAAGAATAGTCACCGAAGAAGCGCGAAAATAATAGCTTCATGACCGAGTTTTCCAGTGCGTAAATTTGATAATAATCGAAGAGTTGACCTAAGTTTAGAAAAAAATTATGTGTTTAGATCACACGGATTGCAATAACAAATGAATGTAGGACAGAAAGTCACAGGACAAAAAGTCACAGACAAAAAGTCACAGGACAAAAAGTCACAATTCAGTTTTGAGATTATTTTTCTTTAAACAAGGAAATACTAATTTAAAAAATAAAATTTTTGTTTTTTCTATTATATATCAAGCAACTTTGTAATTAAAATTTATTCAATAAATATCAATAATGATCAAATAATTGTTATGAACACAAAATGTCAAAGTGGCTTGGTACTTAAATGGTTTCATTGTGCCAAGAAATATATCTTTGCATGATTAAAATTTAATAAATTTTCATTTATCAAGGCTTATGAACAATTTCCTAAACTTAAAAATGAATATATGTAATAAAAAGAAAATATTTCAAGATCTTTCTCTTATATATTCAAACAATTGTCAACAAATTATTTGTGACTTTTTGTCCTGTGACTTTTTGTCCTATCAAATTTGTGACTTTATGTCCTGTGACTTTTTGTCCTGTGACTTTCTGTCCGTTGACCTAACAAATACCCCCCCCCCCCCACACACACACAATATCAAAATATTGGACTGTTCGATCTTCAAAATCTGTTACAATTAACCTGGAACATATGATTGTTGTCGATTTTATCGTCGTGCCATAGTTAATAAAGATACGATACAGAAACGGACATGTGTTAAAAACGGACTCGCTATTATCCTAATAATTTCTGATATTATCAATAAAATGTCATTCAAACTAGTTTTATAGTGATGCTAGTGTATCAAACTTGTATTCTGTCACTTCAAATTTGTTAAAATCGCAAGCATTTCATCACAGAATTGTGCAGAATGCAAACCAGGTAATAAAAAATGGCGGCCATTGCCGCGATGATTTACAAATTCCCAAACTATTATAAAACACTTCACATCAAATAAATCAAACTTATTTTGGTAATTTTATATGACAAAATATATCTACTAAATGATAAAACTTGTATTTATTTACAATTAGAGTTATTGGTGGTTTATTTGTTGAGCAGTTCTGATAGTTTTCAGTCAGACGCTACCAATATCCGTAAATCTCGGGAAGTCTCGGGGAGTCCGAGATTTTATCAATTTCATACTGAAAAGCGTATCAGATTCATTTCCCGTTAGATATACTGTTCCCAGAATTAACTTACATAATTTTATGACATCTGTCCTGTTTGTAGCCTGTAGACATAACTTAGGAAAATAGTAATTATTCGGCCTTTATCTATTCAAACATATTTTCTCTCGTCTATAAAATGTGGATAATTTATTATGGAAGTTTATGGTTATATATTCTGAATTTTCAAAACGTCAAAAACTCTTTTTCCGCTAAAATATTAAAATATTCTTCAAAACAAAAACATGAAAAAACAGTAAATGAATGCACAGTAAACAAAATTTTGTTTCCCTTCGGAAGTTTAAAACAGAGAATGCAAAATTAAAAATTATCCATAGATATATAATCTTGCCTAAAACCACATTACGTTTCATGTCAAATCAGAAAATCGTCAGAATAAGTGTTCAAACGCTCCTTCATTTTCGCTAGTAAAGGGTTCCGTTCCGCTCTTTTCTCTTCAGGAAGATCGTAACCCATGCATTTTTCTTCAATATACATTTCTATTTAGATCATAATTTAGTTGCTTAACTCGGTCTTAAATCGAGATGTTGAAGATCACTTCCATTACCATCTTTCGGAGCAGCATTTAGATCTTTAAAAAAATCAAACAATTTCTCTGTTGGAATGGTCGGTGCTCGAGGGTCGGTGCTTTTCGCGCCCAAATTTGTTTTATTGACTGATGCACATGTTCGACTTTTTAAAATTTTTTCATCTTTTACGATAATTTTGTCTGGCAAAACGCTCTCGATTGCCAGGGTTTATTTTATGAAGGATTTCAGCAAAGATACCAGGCGTATAATTTAAAACGCTAGACGCTCGTTTCGTCTACTCAAAGACTCATCAGATGAGCTCGAATCAAAACATTTGTAAGGACACAAAGCGGAAATAAGTAATTGTATATAGTGATAGTTACAGTGTTTTTCGGTAGAATGTTGTGATATGTGTTCCATTATTAGATAGTTTTACTTGAAACTACTAGTTTACACATCTGTTGATATGTAGCTCACCTGACCTATGCCTGACCTAAGGGCCAAGTGAGCTAATGTCACCACTTGGACATGTAACACCGACCTCTCAGCGGTGTACCGCAGCGCCTTCAAAATATTTTCGTTGATCCCGCAGCGCCTTCAAAATATTTTCGTTGGTCCCGCAGCGCTTTCAAAATATTTTCGTTGATCCCGCAGCGCCTTAATTGGCTACTGTCCCTTAACACTTGATCCCGCAGCGTGTTAATTTTCACATTTCCATTATAAATGTTGGTTAAAATTGTCAAGTTGCTGATCACCGCTGAGAGGTCGGTCAGTCTTAGGGGACGACCATTTGATATTCTGGGGGGGGGGGGGGGGGCAGAAGGATTTGTTTTGGATCGGTTATTTATTTTTGTGGACTAAAAGGACAGATTATTTATTTTCTGCACTGTTGAAGCATGATTTTTCATTTTCATTAAAACAAGGGACTGATTATTTATTTTCACAATTATATTAATAATATATGAAAACACACAATTTTCAAATTCATTTTTTTATTCTTACATGTAAATAAATAATACATGTATAGTCAAGTCATTATGATATGTCCTTTGATTGACTTAAGCTATTTCAGTTGATATTTTATATAGTGTGTCTTTCTATGTTGTGATGTTACACTATTGTTTCAGAAAAAGGGTGAAGGTTTGGTACCATTAAAACGTTTAAACCCGCTGCATTTGTTTGCACCTGTCCTAAGTCAGGAATATGATGTTCCGTAGTTGTCGTTTGTTGATGTGGTTCATAAGTGTTTCTCGTTTCTCGTTTTTTATATAGATTAGACCGTTGGTTTTCCCGTTTGAATGGTTTTACACTAGTAATTTTTTGGGCCCTTTATAGCTTACTGTTCGGTGTGAGCCAAGGCTCCGTGTTGAAGACCGTACTGTGACCTATAATGGTTTACTTTTATAAATTTTGACTTAGATGGAGAGTTGTCTCATTGGCACGCATACCACATCTTCTTATATCTAATCAATGAACAAAAGACAAACCCGGGAACAGATAAAACACAAAACAACAAACAATAGACAAATAACATTGAAAACTATAAATAAATGAGAAACATGGATCCTGAAAAACGGGGGCTACTTCAGAGCGTGAACAGAACTTGCTTCTTGTAAGACACTCGCCGTGAAAAAAATTTGATATGAAGACAAGCTTTTGTTTTTGAAATTTCCTACATGAGGCGTTTGCCATTTTCAGACATTTCAAGTACATTAATATTTATACATTGTATTATTGAAAGATTTGTGAAGTCTTTTCCGAAAAAATATGAAAAAAGACGAGTTTTGGAAGAATCTGGTGCCATCTCATACTTAAGAATAGCATTTATTAAAAAATGGCTTAAAAATCCTGCCAAGTTATTTATTTTCAATACATCGTAAGTCAGGTTATTTATTTTCAAACTACCCCAGAACAAACTATTATTTTTGTTATTATCAAGCCCCCCCCCCCCCCCCCCCACCCCCAGAATATCAAATGGTCGTCCCCTTGCGCAATAACTGGTAATTAGCTTTACCTGTGCCAGCCTTATCAGACCATGTAATCAGGTTATAGCGCAAATGATCATCAAGAAGATAGATATTTAAAAATTAGAAGAAAATAAAAGTTTTTAAAAACTTCAGCGCAAAAATTGAAGAAATAGATCGCAAATGCATTGTATTTACGTATCGTCTTTGTGCGATCACTTGACCATTTAAATAACGATTTTTTCATTGGTCGAGAAGAAGAATCTATTTAAACACGACCAATGAACATGTAGAATACGCGTGATAAATTTGAATACATTTTACTAAAGTAAAGATATTTACGATGAAATTTATGAATGAGAGTATTTGTACGTGAAAAAAAATTAAAATAAACTATGATCAAAGATAACGAGGATAGGTTTATTTTATTAGAAAGTGAAAAAATATTGCTTGCAAGCAGAGACATATAATAGACATATAATACAATTGTATTATATGTCTCTGACTGTTGCAAGTAAAATTCGTCTCTCAACTGTCATGTTTTAGAAATAAAATGATTATTGAACATCGATCGTTAATCCATGCACCGGGAAATATGTGACAATCAACACGGGTACGGAATCGCTGCAGCATCTGTATAATGTCACTAGTAAATAATTGCAATGGTCTTAACTTTGACGAATGTGTCAAGTTTAGTTTATATCTACCTGCCAAAGAAAGGTTTTGACAATAATACACACGGAAGCGTAATGTCAAACTACGGAATCTGGTCAGCTGTTCATTACAATCTTTTTGTTTTAAAAAAGTTGTATACCAAATATCTTAAACATATTCAATTTTAATTCTGAATCAACATGTTCTCTGCTAATAAGAAAGGGGTTAAGCGATGGAATGAGAAGTTTTTTTCAGACCAATGACTTCTTTTGAAAAAGAGAATACACCTCCGTCGGAAAAAAGACAGAAAGTCACAGGACAAAAAGTCACAGGACATAAAGTCACAAATTTGATAGGACAAAAAGTCACAGGACAAAAAGTCACAAATAATTTGTTTATAAATGTTTGAATATATTTATAAGAGAAAGTTCTTGAAATAATTTATTTTTATTACATATATTCATTTTACCGTTTATGAAATTGTTCATAAGCCTTTA